GTGTGTGCATATGTGTGCATGGATGTTTGTGTGTATGAATGCGTGTGTATAAGCGTGTGATAAATGCGTGTGTGAGCGTGTGTATGTATTCTTGCGTGTGAATATATGCAGGCATATGGGTGCTTTCATTTCTTTCCTCATCATTCTCTCTACTTTATTTGCACTCTGATGTGTTTTGTTTTCCTGTGCTTTATAGACAATGATATAGCCATACTGTCTATTTACCTTTTTTTTTATGATGCTTTTTCCTATTTTGGTAAAGTATAGCTAACATTTGCCAGGTTGGTCAATGTATACCAAGTTAAAAACGGTTTTGATAAATTAGGATCTGGCTCTCTCTTGTCCAGTATATTGTAGGTAAGTAGCCATGACATTCTCTATGTGTGTGTGTATAGATGTGTGTGTATACATATATATAAATAAATATAACATGTAACATTTCAAATTCTTTCTTGCTTATACGAACACACATACACACACATACACATATATATACAAGAAAGAATTTCAAATGTTTTTTTAATCACAAAAATGACCAATGTTTGAGAGAATAGATACATTTCCCTGATATTAACACCACAGAGTGCACAGATGCTGAATCTGTGGGACTGCAAGGTGATTCACTGGGTAAGGGCAGTCACCGCCAAGCCTGCCAACCTCCGGCCCACACTTGTGGAAGGAGAGAACTCCCACAAACTGTCCTCTGATTTCCACACATGTGCCAAAGCCAGCACACACAATCAATAAGTGAAATCTTAAAAAAGTCACGCAGCACCCACTAAGCTCCAAGGCACCCTGAAAATAAAGGAGATGGGCAGTCTCCCTGTTTTAACAAGGGCACGGCTCCCGGCAGTCAGTTCGCCTGCACATCCGGCTGGCATCCCCGAGCTCACGTCCAGCACCTTTGCACCATCCCAGTCGCAGGCCCTGCAGCTGTAAGCGGCTCCCTGTGGCCCGCCCAGCTCAGCCTCTGAGAATCTCTCATGTACTCTCTGTCTCTGTGAATTTGTGAACTATCACACACCTGACATTGTTGGAGTCACTAGTCTTTCCAGGTCTGGCTTACGTCGCTGGGCATAATGTGTTCAAGGCTCATTCATATTATATGCGCATCAAGGTACCGTACGTGGGGGTTTTTACCAGTTGCTATGCTCAGTCCAGCTCCTTGTCTTCTCATGAAGAAACGAAGACATTGTATATAAATGAATCACTAACTTTAAATTAGCTTTTTGCCGCCTGGAGGATATTACAGGAAACATGGGACAAAATGGGAAGCGTTCACAAACCAAAATCAAAGTTTTATTTTTTTTTCTAGACAAAAGACATTTGAGATAGAGAGATAGAGAAAGAGAGAGAGAAATCACACTTTAGATCTCTCCTTGGAAACTGTAACATCATCTAGGCTGGTTAATGTGATGCCTTTGTTTGCTACTTACTAGTTATGAAAATGGACAAAGTTCATATAACACCCCTTTTTGTGTTCGTTTGTTTGTTGTTTTTCCAGGGTTTCTCTGTGTAATCTTGGCTGTCCTGGACTCACTTTGCAGACCAGGCTGGCCTCAAACTCACAGAGATCCCCCTGCCTCTGTCTCCCAAGTGCTGGGACTAAAGGCGTGCACCACACCTGGCTCACACAGCATCTCTTAAGCCTTAGTTTTCTCATGTACAAAATGAGGTTAATCGTGTGATCTTGTAATCTCGTTGTGAGAACTCTGAAAGATGGAATGTATAGCTAAACCAGTTCACTGTAGGTGCTCAGTAACTATTGATAGCCCTGGAGACACGGCTCAGAGGATAAACACCACTGCTGTCAAGCTTGCCAGCCTGAGTTCAGTCCCTGGGACTTCATGGTGGAGGGAGAGAACTTACTCCTATGGGTGTACACACTCACACAGAGTTGTGGGGGGAGAAGTTGCTCTCTTGAATTCTCCTATAACCCCAGTAGTTAGAAGGCTGAGGCAGGAGGATGAGTTTGAGTCTAAGCTGTGCTGTGTAGCAGGTGCCAGCTCACTCAGGACTGCTTAGCAAGACTGCGTCTCAAGGATATATATATATATTTAAACATACATTTGCTTTCTTTTTTATATACTACTATAGGGATGTTTCAGTAATTCAGCTGCTCTTGTTCTGCTCCTTCATTTCTGAGCTGTTACTCCTTGCCCATAACCAAGAGAACAATTAGTGTTGCTAGCCTTCACCCCGCAGTGGCCCTTTACACGTTTGATAATTTTTTTCTACCTAGTTACTTAATATCTATCAGACAATAATCATATGTAAATATTCTTCAGAGACTATGAGAAGCAAAAGGTGAAGGGGAAAAAGAGGACGTGAGGAATACGTTTTTCCGTCAGGGTAGAGTGACGGCTGATGCCCCAGTAAAACATACGTGAACAAACGCGAAGTGAGTGTACTGTAAAAGGACGTATGTGCAGAGAGCTCATGTAAACTGGTGCTGAAGAGGGGGGTGCTGCCAGCATATTTGAAAAATATCATATTAGAAAAGAATGTCAGTGTAGCCACAGGTTCCATTAGTGTTCGGAGAACCGTGTATAAACCCGGCTTTAAAAAATATTCCGGATTTGGGCTGGAGAAATGGAAATGGCCCAGTGGTTAAGAGCACTGTCTGCTCTTCCAGAGGTCCTGGGCTAGATTTCCAACAACCACTTGGTGGCCCACAACCGTCTGTCCTGGGATCTGATGCCCTCTTCTGGCGTGGCAGGTGTGCCCACAGATACCACACTCATGTATGTAAAATAAATAAATGTTTTTTTTTTTTAATTTGGCACTATTTAAATAACCACACGCCTCAAAAACAGTCACTTTGCGTTTAGCACAGCACTCGGGAGTCAGGAAGGGAGTGGCCTAGGTGTTCCCCTGGCTCTGTAGTTGTTGGTCTTTGGTGATTGACACATGTGTGTGAGGCAGTAAATGAAAGACTCCATGCTCAGATCTGGACATAAAGTCCCGGGAGACAAGTGCTCTGGCAGTTACCCCAACACACCCTGCCCAAAAAAACTGTATTCATGCCTGACTTTATCTTCTCCACGCTGAAGTCAACCAGAGACTTTATTTTAACATTTATGACAACTTATTACAAATTTAAATCAAGTAAGCATGTCAAAAATAATGCTGGCCTGGAGTCAGAGCTCATGAGTTCTGAACACAGCTCTGGCTTCACGTAGAGCCGAGAGCATGGCTACACCCAAACTCTCCTGAGTCTTACTGCCTTAAGATGCGCCTCATTCTCTGACTCTGAGAGGTCACAGCCCCTACAAAGGGAAAATTGAAGCGCCTATCATTTTTAAAAGGATTTCTCTAACACGTGAGTGTGTGCGGGTGTGTGCATGCGAGTGCCCGTGAGGGCCAGAAGAGAGTGCTTCCCCGTGTAAGTGTTGGGAACTGAACCCAGGTCCTTTGGAAGAACAGCAAGTGTTCTTAGCCACCGAGCCATCTCCCTAGCATCATAGTTTTAAATCATAATGCGCTCCTCTGGCTTTTCCCTTAGTTAGTCATTTCTGCATGTTATAGCTGCATGGCTCACCGTCGGCTTTCCCCCTGTCCCGGGTAGATAGCTCTGTGCTGTCTAGCTCTGGCCTGCTTCACTTAACTCAGTCTCCTGTTGCATCTGTCCCATATTCTGAGGGAAAATGGACAAAATTGCTACATTAGGGGCTTTGTCGTTGATTTACATGTATTTTTGGGTAGGGGAGGGTGCGCTACAATGATACATACTCGAGATCAGAGGACAACTTGAAGGAGTCAGCTCTCTCCTACCATGTGGGAACCCAAGGATCAAACTCCGGTCATCAAGATTGGTAGCAGGCTCCTTTTCCTGCTGGGCCGTCTCCACGGCCCAATAACTGTGATGGCACTGTATCTCAAGCAGTTGAGGCTTCCCTTAGAGCAATGTGTAATCAATGGTAAATGCTGGGCAACAGAAATAACTGTATCTCAGTTTAGTCTCCTTGTGCAAAATATGGTTGTAATTGGTATGGATTTAGGGCAGGAAGAAAGTCTTTGAAGGGTGTATGAGGACAGAACAGATGTGAAAGTGTTTCTTTTTTTTTAATCTTCTAAATTAATTTTATGTATATAATGCTCTATCTTCATGTATACCTACATGCCAGAGTTGGGCATCACATCGCAATATGGATGGTTATGAGCCACCATGTGGTTGCTGGGAATTGAACTCAGGACCTCTGGAAGAGCAGACAGCACTCTTAACCACTGAGCCCTCTCTCCTGCCCAAGTGTTTCATTTTTAATTATTTCATTTATTTTTTTGCTGTGTTTGTATATGTTCACTCCCGTACACATCAGTGGGTGCAGCCTGCATGTTGAGATCAGAGGGAAACTTGTGGGAATTGGTTCCTCCTCAAACTCAGGTCATCAGATCCCCAGGGCTTCCCTGAACGCTGGGCATGTTCTCTACTGCTGAGCCGTTCCTTAGCTCCCAAAATGACATTTTGGAAGAATGGCCAAACCAAGACAATTAACATACACATCACTTTACACACACACACACACACACACACACACACACACACACACACATATTTTTTGTCAAGGAGATGCTTTTTGAGATATTCCATGGTACATTTATGCTATCCTCCTGCTGCAGTAAATATGAACCCATCCCTTTGACATGCTAATTTGTTCAAATGCATATGCAGTAGGGCAGATTAAAGAGTAGCTTTTTGAGGAGTTTCTGCCGATTTCCATCATGGTTGTACTAATTCATCATCTCACCAACAAAGAGCAAAGGCTACCTTTTCACCATATCCTAACCAACACTACTCTTTTGTCATTGGGGGCGGGGGAAGGGTGTTGAGATAGGTGTCAGGTAGGTCAGTCTTGAACTCCTGATGTCCCCAAGGGCTAGGGCTACAGGTGTGTGCCGCCATACCTGGTTTATGCAGTGTGGCGAATGGAACCCGGGTCCTCCTGCACTCTAGGCAAGCACTCCAGCTGAGCTGTATCCTCAGCTCTTCTTTGATTTTGTTGGTGCAAAGCCACTCCAACAAACACACAGTGACACTTCCATGGTCCTAACTATAGTTGTTGTCCTAACTTGGATTTCTCTGATGGTGAATGATGTTGGATTTTTTTTTTCATGCCTTTTGGCCATTTGTGTGTCTTCCTCCAAGAAATGTCTGTTGTAGTTCTTTGCCCATTTTTTTTAATTAGGTGTTTTGTTTACTTGCTACTGAGTCCTCTGTGTTCCCTGTCCATGCTGGATCTCAGCCTCTAACCACACAGTTTGCATATGTGTCTACCATCCTGCAGACTTTCTCCATTCCATTATTCCCTTTTCTAGAAGCTTTTTAGTTGTATGGAGTCCTGTTCATCTATTTTTGCTTTCACTGCCTGTGCAATAAGTTAGAAAATCAAACAGATTTAGCTTCTGAGGTTGTATCTTACTAAATGAATTTTCGCTAGATGAATAATTGAATTTTTGTTTAAACTCCTAACATCTCAGTTTAATAAGCTTTTAGCATAAAAATTTCCAGAAAATTTGGTATCCATCTGGCCTCAGTTAAACATAGTACAAAGTAATCAAGAAGTCTGGTAACTTTCACCTTCCAGAAAGCATGGATGTGGTTGCTCTTCATTTCCTGTATTGTTTCCTCCTCCTCCCAACTGTGCGTTTTTTCCATTGTGCTTTGCCAACCAACAGAAGATGAATGGGTACCCATGAGTCACACCCACTTGTTTACACACGCGTCTGTACAACTACAGATGACAGTAGGCTGAGAAAGAATTAGCTTCCCCTCCTCCGGGCTTCACTCACAAAAGAAGTCTAGTTGGTTTTTCAAAATGGAATCCAAGCTCCTCAGCATTCCCTCAGGCTTGGGTTGCTTGATAGGAAAAGCCTGTAATCCTCTCAGTCACTTCTCAGTTTGTTTAGAGACGGGATCAAAGCTGGAAGCTTTTACTGGGTGGCATGACTTTTCAAAATATATCGTGGGAGGGAAAATAGCACTTTAGTGTCTTTTGTGTAAAGACAAGTGCAAAGACCCCACAAGCATACCTCTCCTCCAGGGACCTAGTCACCACACCGATGGATTTAAGGTCCTGCATTCCTCATTAATTATCTTCAGCCAGACAATAGCTTCCTGCCATAAAAAACCGGGCCAGTGTCTCTAGTCAATGTTTTACAGGAGAAATAATGTTCAGATACACTGCAGAGAAGAGCCACACAGTAGTGATGCAAAGCAAACTACTAGAACGTGTCACAAAAGTCACACGACCCAGTCTCTGCCACACAGCTGACCGTAGGATTTATGGTCACCTTCAGAGAATGCTATATTCAGCCTCATACTCCGGAAGACTCTTATTTTCCTGCCACGCCCTCATTAGAAGCAAGAACTTAAAATGTGGACGTCTAAAGCTTAGGTCGGGGACAGCAAGATGGCTCCGTGGCTAAAGGCTTGCTTGCTGCATGAGCCTGGAGAACTGAATTTGATGCCTGGAACCCACATGAAAATGAAAGGCGAGAACCAGCTTTGCAGAGTTGTCCTCCGCCATCTCCACACACACACGTGCACACACAATTTTTTTAAAGGCATAAACCAGCTCTGTTTCACATGATGTTACTGTTATAATCTGCTGGTGGAAAACCAGATTATAGTCTAAACTGCTGGGCGCCGAGAAAACAAGAAAATGAGATGGATTTAGTAGAAATGGCAAAGGTTGGAGTGGGGTTATTTTTAGCCAATGTTCTGCTGCCTGGAGGTCAGTAATTTGAATCCTTCTGAATTTGAGCACATCCAGGAAAAACTGAATGTCTAGGCCGGGGTGTAATTGAGGCCAGCGGTGTTTCCCCGCCAATAAGCCCATAGGACTGTGATGGGAGGCGATGGACAGTCGCTCCTGCTGCCTCATAGTCTGAGCACTTGGCGATCATGCAGTTGGAGTGAGCAGAGACACAGGCACGGGACTGTGGGGATACAGCACTTTGCACGATAAAAAAATGTTGGAACTACTGTATCTGGGCTGGTGCCGTGTGGCATTGCTAACTTCGGCCTTCCTCCCTGCTCCGTCCCTTGTGTCTGTGCCTGCTCTATCCAGCTGGTTCCTTGTAACCTTTGCTTCTCTCTGTGTGTCTCTGTGCAGGTACTGGGGGTCCCTACAGAGGACACCTGGCCAGGAGTCTCCAAGCTGCCTAACTACAACCCAGGTAAGCTTCTAAACATTCCAAGGACTGGCAACGCCAGGAGAGCCTTGGCCACACAGAGTGTCCATCCTGTATTAAACCCACCCAAGACAGACTACTCGATTTGTATAGTTTCCAACTCATTCTTTTGTTTGCTTGTCTATTTATTTATTTAGAACAGGGCCTCGCTGTGTAGCCCTAGCCGGCTTGGAACTTACTGTGTAGACCAGGCTAGCCTTGAACTCACTGAGAACTACCAGCCTCTACCTCCCAAGTGCTGGCATTTCAGGCTTGTACCATCATGCCCAGCTTAACTCTTTTATTAAAAAGATATTGAAAAAGTCACTAAGGTGAAATCAGTTCTCCAATGCCATAAACCCCAGATAGCAAGGTGAAAATAATTGGAAAGGACAATTATCATGGAGTCTACATCCATTTCCAAGTAGCCCAGGGCTCAAAAAACAGCATGCTTTGAATCCCATGAGCAAGGAACTCTACTCACTTTTGAGCCCATAGCTGTCACCAGGCTTATTTCTGACATGGTTGAGCCTTGTATAAAAGGAAAGCTAAAGCAACAGAGGGTGTAAGAGACAAGCTAGACCTAAGATAAGGCCGTTGAGATGCCACTAAAGAATTGTCTCTCTGCCCAACAACTGGTCATTTCTGTCACACGTGGTCGCCTACAAGTAGCTGCCGGGGATAGATAAGCAAGCCTTAGGAGTATTGTCCACAGAGAAATTCTTTGTGACGTGTGCCCCAAGCCATGGCTAATGGTCAGATCACCAAGAAGTCACTTCAAAGCATTGAGACAGAAGTGAGGAGACATCCAATGAGCCACAGGATGAAGATGGGGCATCTCAGAAGCCCTGAGATGCAAGCAAAGCCCATGCTGGTGCTAACCTCTCCGAGGCAGAATTAAAGGAGAGGCACACGTGAACAGATAAGGACTTGACTGGGATGGAAGTCCTCCAAGCTAGACTATAGGGTCTATATTTTCTTACACTGTCCCATTGCTAAACCCCGAATTTTTCCAAAATTGTCATTATAGACTTTGACTTTGGTTTGAAGTTATCCTGGAAAAGTTCCACAAGAACAAAAAATTGCAGGGAGACTTCAAAAGTGATTAAGGAAGAAAATAAAATTCCGGGTGTGGTACTGTCAGCCCATAATCCCAGCACTTGGGAGGCTAAAGCTTGAAAAACTTGGAAGGAAGGGAGGGAGGGAGAGGAAAATGAGGAAGGGGCAAAGAGAGAGAGAGAAAAAGAGAGAGAACAAAGAACAGGAAGAGGAGGAATTGATGAAAGACATGAAAAGGAGTCTAGGTTTTTCCCTTTTTTATTCTGCATCTACTACTTTTATTCAAAAGCCATGCATAGCTACCAGTCTTTCTTAACTAAATAGTTAACAAAGTCTATGGAAAGCTAAAGACTAACTGTAAAGTCCTTTCAAGTCCTTTCAACCTCTTTGTAAATGATCATATTCCTTGCTAAAGTACCTTAAAGTCACTTTAGAACTGGCTTACTATTTCAACTGTCTGTTTTCAGTTGTTTAACACTCTGGTCTTGAGGTGCAGAATAGTGCCTTTCTCCTTTGGGGTGAGAGGGAGGTAAGAAAGAAAAGCTGTTTATGGAGGTCTTGGTCCAGTCTGCAATAGCTCCTAGCTCTAGTTGCCATGGTTTCCAGGAGAATCTCGTTCTTATCATTTCCCATGTAGCCTGTAATCCCACCCCATCCCCTCTTCTTTGCCTGAGTGGAAATGGTCCAGTTACCTTCCTCTGTTCCCTAACACAGATAGAAGCAGAAGTTTAGAACCGGAAGCTGTTTGGGTACATATGCATACACAGTAGTTCTGGGAGCATCGGCGGCTACCCCAGACTTCAGATGCTTGGGTTGCAGGTTGGTTCAGGCAATAATGAGATATGCCCATGGCAGATGGTCATCAAAGCCAGGCACATTGCCAAATGCCTTCCCTGCCAGATGCCATGCTAAGAAGATATCTGGGCTCTGCAAAAATAGAAAGAAATATGTCACATTGTTCCTTTTGCTGTCAGGCTAAAGCAGGTTTTATTTACAAAGAAAATTCTCCAGGCCCAATATCAACCGCGCTCATATTTTGGTTTCCTTCTGTTTAATTCAGAAAAGTACAACTGGTTTTTAGTACTTTCTTTGTTTTTAAAGACAGTGTTTCTGTGTGTAGTCTTGGCTCTCCTGGACTCACTTTATAGACCAGGCTGGCCTCGAGCTCACAGAGATCTGCCTGCCTTTGCCTCCTTGAGTGTTGGGATTATAGGTGTAGGCCACTGCGCCTGGCTTCTTTTCGTACTTTTTATCTGCTAGATTCCTGCAAGGTGCTACAGTCCCTGGATGGATGTGGTGTGTCCTTGAGTCTCCCGAGCATGGGCTTGGATTCATTCCCCGGTTCTCACTAGAACTGCAGTGCTCACTAGTGGGGCTGTTTCTGTGGGTTTGGAAAGCTTATGGCTGCGTGTCAAGCTGAGCATGAGAAGGGAGTCCTAACCTTAATCGTAGCCGGGATTTCAGACCCCACCTTTGTAACTCTTAACATATCTAGCTTATCTCAGGCATGGTGTTGGTACTATATTAACACCTCAGACAAAAGGACCGTGTTTTAAAGAGGCCATTGAGAGTCCTGTCCCGGGAGTGAGTCTTACAAATAAGCAAGTCTCTCTTGAGGCATGCCCATCTACCCCCATTCCTGAGCTACTGCTGTTTTCACAGATTTGACCTGCAATAACTTATGGACACTGAACAGGAGGTAGGCACTAGGACATTACGAGTTACCTTCCCAGCCAGTGCACCCCTTTTCCTAGCAAACACTCCCTCTCCATCCTTCCCTCCGCCATACTCTTTCCAGGCTCTGGTTAACAGCTACTTTACTCTCTTCTTCCGTTGAAGCCAACATGTACCTCCTGCATAGAAGTGAGAACATACGAGACTTATCTTCCAGTGCTCAGCTTAGTTCATTTAACCATGCCCTCCAGTTTCATCCATGTTACTATAAATGACAGGATCCCGTTATTTGTATGGACACATAGTATCCTATTAGGAGTACACAGCAATTTCCTGCTTCCACTTTTATTTCGGTCGATGCCTACCTTGGTCTGTGCCTTGGCTAGTGTAAACAATGCTGGGGTGAGCATCAAGTATGGCTGTGTACCCGATACACTGCCCTTCAGTTTCTTTGGATATATGCCCAATAGCAAGAATGCAGGATCCTGGGGTTTTACTCCTGGTTTTCTTTTAAATAAATATTTGTACTGTTTTCCACAATAGTTGTACTCATTTACATTCCTACCAATGGTGAGAATAGTGAGAGTTTGCCTTTATCCATATTCTTACCCGTATTCATCATTATCACCACCACCATCACCACCACCACCATCACCACCACCACCATCACCACCACCACCATCATCACCATCACTATCATCATCAACATCACCAGCATCATCATCGTTTGTGTATGGGGGTGCCTTTTTAGTTTTTGAGGGCAAGATCGTGCCATGTGGCTCAGGCTAGCCCAGAATTCATTCCGATAGCCCACGATGGCCTCATCCTCAGTGATCCTTCTACCTCAGCCTCCCAACTATAATGTGTCACAACACCCAGCTCACCGCTTGTCTTATAGATAGTGTCTATTCTGACATTGGAACTTGCCTCTTGGTTTTGTGATGCTCAAAAAATTCTCTGAGGATTACTGGTGACTGTTTTGTATGTGTGTGTGTGTGTGTGTGTGTGTGTGTGTGTGTGTGTGTATTCCTTGGCCATTCACATGTCTTGCTTGTTTGAGGAATATTCCTTTTAGTCATTTGCTCATTTAGAAAATTGTTTGCTGTGTAGCACAACTGAAGGTGTTTGGCTGCCCTGAACTTGGGTGAATAGTCCAGTCTCTATCCAGTTGCTGCCGTTGTGAGGCCTTGTCTGGACTGTGTCTTAAGGAACCATCCTGATTCTGTTGGGGACATTAAAAATTCTCCCAGCGCCGACTCCATTAAGTCCCAGCTTTTGCCCAGTTCTAGTGAGCCTGGCTTTACCGGCTTCATGCTGTGGCTGGTTATAGCCAAACTCATCCCTGATTAAATCGGGAAGGCGAGTGGAGTGTATCACGTTCAAAACTGCCTCCTTCTCTCCTCCTTCCTTCTTTTCCTTCCCTTCCTTCCCCACTTTAAGCAAGCAGGCTGAGAACTCTCTATCCTCCACTTCAAAGGGCCAGTTGTCTTATTCTGATGTGGGCAGATTGAGAAGTAGGCTTTGAAAAATAGGCCCTTTTTTTGTTGTTTAATCTTTCCTCCTGGGATGGCTTTCAGAGCCGTATATCCAAGTGTCAGCGAGGGGGTTCTGACGAGGCCGGATTCCCAGACTCTCAGCAGGATCATCCTCTAACAGAAATATAAAAGTGAAATATTAAAAACCCTGGGACGTGAACTCCATCTGCAGAGTAGCCAGGGCCTTGCCTGCTTGTACCATGGGAAAAAAAGATCTTGAAAAAAGAGGGAGGAGAAAAAGGTCTTTGACTAGGAGGTTTACAGGTTTAGCAGAGCACAGTAAGTTCCCCTCAAAGGAGTGGGTGTTGCTCTGCGCCCCCCCTAAAACTCTCATCCTTTGACTCAGCCGCCAGAACTCACCCGCCTCCCCCTGCAAGGCACCCCCTTTCTCATGCTAACTGAGGTGTCTGTGATTGGCTGGACAATAAACTGGTCACACTTGCTAAAGGACTGCTATCTTTCACACAATTAGCCAAGACACATTAATCAAACTGACGGGCACTGAGGCTGCCGGCCTCCTGCAGCGGGGGAGGGGAGAAATTTTGGTGACCCTTCCTAAACATCCTGAAGCAACGACAGAGTCCGGGAGGGGATTCTTCTGCCCAAATGTCTGAAGAGGTTAAAGCCCCAACTGACGGGCTATCCGGGATGTGGTGAGTTTGTGGCACAGGAGATGCCAAAAGCTTAGAGCAAACCAGATGTCCGTCTTGGCTAAGATCTGCTGATGCAGAGACAGTG